GAGGGTGAGAGAAAGAAAATGATTTTGTGTGTTTAATTTAAATATTTATTGTGATAAATAGGAAGTTATTCTTTTTTCCTTTTTTAAAATATTAAAAATGTGATTAAAGTTAAATTTTTTGTCAACTGACGAAATTGTAAATGAAAACTATTTAAAAAAACTTCATCTGCAACATTTGAAAGGTTAAGGGTGACAACTATATCAAATCAAAAGTTTAGAGGAAATCTGCTAATATTTCAAGACTTTTGCTATAATTATCCCAAAAATAATTAAAGAGAGGAAAAAGAAAGCAAACCCAAGCACCCAGCTGCCTCCCTCATCCCCCAAGAAGAGGACCAACTAACCCAATCTCCCCCAATTTCCCCCTGTAACCCACTCCCTCCATTTTCCCTGCACCAATCCACCCACCTCTTGTAACCACTCCCTACCCAGCTCGCCCCCCTGCAACCCATCCAGCGTCATCCCTATCCTTCCTTCCTTCCTACCCTCGCCTAGAATGGGAATTTGGGGATGGGGGGTAGGGGTGGAGGAAAGGAAGGGAGAAGTTTATTCATTTAATATTTTTATATTTTCTTGTTTCAATTAAACATAACAGTAAAGTTGTCTTTTCCCAAAAATCTGTTTTTTTATTTAAGCAGTCAGATGGACAAAACCATCAACTTGAGACTCCAGCAATAGAAAAAGTTGAGGATCCAAATGCCAAGAAATAAAGGTTGGGAAGCCAAATGCTACATTACCTAGGGACCTCTTGCACATGAAAAAAAAAAGGATGAGAGGCAAAAAAACATGGATTGATGAGCTTTACATCCCTTGAGGAGAAAAAATATTTCACTTCAAGAAGATGGGCGGCAGAAGTAATTGGCCTTCTCTTGTTCGGAGGCAAGGACAACGTTGACATAATGTTTCCCTCATATATACTAAGAATCCAAAAGGATGAATAAGTTATTCCCACTTACCTTCAGTTTCCTAGAGGGATTTAGGAGTGATTAGAAACAAAATAGTGCACCTCTGCTTCCCTCTCTTCAAATTACTCTATAAAAATTGGGAATTGACCATCTCACAGTACATTTCCCTCCCCTATATATTTCTACTTTACCGTAACTTTTACTAGCATTGCATGATAGTTCCCATTTCCAGCAATGGCCATCGAGAAGCCAGTCAAATCCCTGCCAAATTCCAGTCTTCCCTGTATTAATCTCTCCCCTAAGTGCATAAAAGTTTCTTATTAAACTCTTTGTGAGTGTTTGTGCTTTGCATGTTTTATTCCCCATTTTCTAACCACCACTTCTTCATTGTTTCACACTTATTTACTATTTGAATAAGATCTCTCAGCAATAAAAAAAAACTCATATCTGAAACTTGCATTTGCTCCATAAAAGAGACTACGTTTCTGTCATTTCATGTTTTTTTCCACCAACTTGATGGATTGATTCTTTACTCTAGATTTCTATTGCCAACTAGATATACAACTAGATTACCACACGAATACTAAGTTAAACCTTAGACTTGTTAAATGTAAGCAATTACATCTGTGAATTTATCAACGAATACGCAACCTACTGTTGGACACGAATGAACCGAGCATGTAAGTTTCACGCCATTAACCTCAAGCAAGAACCAGGACAATCATAGATGTACTCAATGTCTTACCCTAAAAGTTAATCGCGTTGCATCGCTTCGCCTCTAGTCCTAAAGATAGGTATTTTTCATCAAATTATAGAAGCTTTATTTACATCCAGTAGTACAGGATAACTATCTATTCACAACTCTGAGTAATGTCCTAACTTCTGCACCTTTGTCGTACTCATAACTAGTTGTCATGTTTTCCAGGCTTCGTTTGTGTAAGGGGATTCGACTGGAAGACACGTGCACCTCGTCCTCTCATTGCTAGACTGCATTTCCCAGCCAGTAAGGTAACTAAGGTAAAGTGAAGGATTTGTAAGAATTAGGTATCATCCCACTCACCATGGCTAACAGTAGGATTATGTAGAAACAGCATTAGCATGCCTGGCATCATAACATGATTCTTCGCAGTGCATAAGGAAATGAAATCAACCATTTGTATAAATGAAAACGGAGGGGAATCAGGTCTGTATAGCATGAAATCGTAATATTTCTGCTCAATTGTTGACAATAGAGGCCGAAATAGAACAGGCCTTTCTTCTAATTTATTATGAAGTTTTTTTTGGTTATTTATTCCAAATCCTGGAGTCTCTGTAGGTAAATGAACAGGAAAGCAATACTTGTAAGCAATATGCTCCGGCTAAGCACAAGAAATTTATTTATAATGAACCTTTATTCTTACAAGAAACAATAAAATAGTGGAACATGTTTAAAAATATAAAATTTACTTAAGCTTAAGCTTAAGCAAAACACCACTGACGTGAGCAACAGAATGTATTACCTTTGATCCTTTTCGAAGTTAAAGAGGTTCAAATTAGTTCCTCAATAGGAACACAGCATTCACGGTGTTGACTAAGTATAATTGCAAGTTCACAGCGACCTACTAAAGATAGCATTATCAGATCACAACAGACCAAAACAAGAAAATAAAAAAAAAATGCAATGTAACACGCACAACTCCTGATGCAGGTTCGTATCTTTCAGTTTTCTAAAGAATACTAAAATTTGCTAAATATCCAAAACTGTGATTTCGTGGTAGCAGCGCTCTGCTAAATTTGTCATGATAATAAAATGCTCATGCATTCATGAGCTAACCTTTGATGGCATATCGTAGTTGAAAAGTGTTGTTCCCTTTCCAGTCGCTCAACACACGATTTAATTTGTAATCATGACCCACTGAACAAAGGATTGAATTCCAAGAAACAATAAACCATGTTGAATCATTTTCAAAGGATTAAAATTACAAAAATCATGATCAGCACTTCACAAGTCGTAATCAGTAATTATCTTTCAAAAGGAGAGCATTAACATATGAAATCGCCAAAATAAGCAAGAAATGCCTTATATTGTTCTATCAAGAACTCTTATATTGTTTTCACCTGTAAATCCTAATCAAATCAGGATAATTTGGATGTACGACTAATATACAAGGTTGGATACTATTAACAATAATCGATTTCTCAATCATCCAAGATGATACTGAATCTTCAAAACTCTGAGTCTCAAGATTGTGATGAGAGACATGGAGGCCGAATACTACATGAATTCAATAGCAAATTTTCAATTTCAACACACCTTCAATTCCACGGAATGTGTAGTATCAACATAAACCAGAGAACATATTCAGATTTAAAAATTGTCCAATTGAACTTCAAATATGATATTTTCTTCATCATTTTCCTAAATTCAAAGCAATAAAATAATGGTTGTACGCTTATATACTAACAATTATATACCTGATCAAATTCCTTGAGCCTACTGCCTATCCAATAAATAAAATCAATCGGCATAAAAAAGTAATATTGAGAAAACATTGATGAAAAAATCAATTAACCGAGACGCTTGTACGTAGAATATATAAATTTGTATATATGCAAGGGATTGTACCTTAAAATCTTCTGTAAGCAGATGGAAAGAGAGAGGACAGAGAAGGGATTGTGCAAAAAAGGTTTAGGAAAATTTTGCCGCCTTACGTCTTTAAGAATCCCTCCATTTTTTGATTTCGTGTTCACGCGCTATGTCGCGAGTACGAATAGGGTTCAGTGGATAAAATACAACAGACCAGGGTCATTAAAAAAAATAAAAAATAAAATTGAGTTAATGCACAAAATATTTTATTATGGACTTGTTTGGTACTGATAGTGAGAATCAATTTTTCAATTGTTAGAGGGAAAAGTGAGTCTCATCTGTGAGTAAAAATATTAATTATGTTAAGTAACGATCAAAAAATTGATTTTTTAACTTTAAAAATTAGAACCAAACCGAGGCAATGTGAATAGTACATTTGGCCCCCATTAAATTCTATTTTATTTTTCTTTGTTCTATTTTCAACCACACAATCTTCCATAAAATAATATTACACGTAAATTGAATTTTTTTCTTTTTTTTCAACTACTGATTTTTTTAAAAAATATATTATTCCACCTGTAACACCCCGAATTTTTTTACTATTTTTCATTTAAGCCTAAATTTTATATGGGTCACTTAACAAATGAAATAATTCATGTTTAGCTTTATCGTCACACTAAAAGTCCGAAAGTTGATAATTTATTTTACGCACGTGTACTTAGAATTTATCGTAAATCTTATTTTGGTCAAATATTTACGTATTTTAGAAGTTGATAAAATACATCAATATTATACTCGTTATGTAGTTCGTGTTAAATAAAATAAATTGGGTTTGAGAAAAAGTAATTTTGAACTAATATGCTCGAGTTATTCTAATAAAAAGAATCATGTTATCTTATAATACTTTATTAATATATAAGATATAAAATAATAACAAATAGGTAGCTTTCATGGTACGGGTCATGCAAAGGTCATTCACTTTAATTGATATAAATATTCATAAAAATTCCATAACCATGACATTAACTTCAATTCATGTGAAGGTGCCCTTTCAAATTATAACCGTAAGTCTGTAACCATAACGTCCACTTTGAATGATCTAACTCCAGGTGGTTAATTCCATACGTGTGAAAAAGTATATATATGAGAGATGGAAATGATATTCCTCTACCACAGTTTATATTGTACCCTTAACACCACTAATGTTTTTTGAGAATTGAATAGAGCATCATCTTTATATCTTTTCAAAAGTTACCTTTTCAGCTAAATTATTTGGTATCAAATTGAGGTAAGAATACATGGTGCAAGTAGTGAATTCTTGTTTCTTGATATTTATGTAAATTTGGCATGAAATACTATAAGGGCTCCAGGTCGAATTCTTTGTTAAATCTTTTGGGATGGATCGTTAGGTCAAACTTGTTAAATCCTATAAGATGTGGGGATTCTTAAGAAATTCCTTGAGTTCTAAATCTAAAAAATGTTAGTATGTTACGCCAATTTTACATTTATATCATGTGAATAAGAATGTATACGTATTCTTACAAGCGTTTTCAAAATACTCACCTTACAATAACATTTTAGATTAGAACGGATCGTGTGGACATGTGGCAAATTGAGCGAGTGATGCTCATGGGGTTGTCAAGTAAAAGTTTTAAAAATGATTATTGCCAATTTTTATTTTAAGAATAATTTTATGTTTAATTCCGTGCATGCTATTTTAGTAGTTTCGACATTGAAGTTATTTAACATGTTAAATTGACAATTTAATTCGTAATACTTTAAGCTAGATAAAATTAAAATTTTTATTTTGAATTTGTTGAATTCACATTATTGAGTAAGCGATCAAATACCAAAAATTATACATTAGTGTTAAATTCCGGTTAAATTATAAAAGTAAGATTTTAACACTTCAAAATGTTTAAAAAAAATGTGTAGAGGATTTGGGGCATTACAGTTTGGTATCAGAGCCCAAACCTATCTTTCTGGAGAAGAAAAAAAGGGTTTATATTTTTTTTCACCGTCATGTATAACATAAATTTCATTACATAAATTCTGTGCAATATTCCTGGTCCCAACATTTAGATAATTTAACTTAGATCATGCCTTATGATTTTGTTTTAAAAAAAAAAAATCTTTCATTATGTGTAAATATCATTATGTACAAATGTGATTTACGTGCATAAATTTCTAAATAATATTAAATTAATATTTTCAAAAAGAGACTTAATTGCATGGTTAAAAGAAGGTAAATGTTTCTACCTAAATGTAAATTTTTTTACCAATGTGATATTAGTATTATCGAATTTATATCATTGTTACCAACTTCATACAAGGTTCATAGTAGTCAAAGATTTTGATTTTGTTGGGAAGTTTGTGGAAAACCTAATTATAGAATTTTAGTCTTGATATGGATTAGTAATGTGGTGTCATAAGAAAATTTAGTAAATCTAAACAATAACAATCCTAAGCATCGAAAAAAAAATGGTATATACATTTTTTTTATGGTCTTATACGTGATAATATTTTTCTCTAGAAAAAAATATATTTAAAAAATAAGACCCATGGTATTTAACGCTCGTCAATCTACTACCCGTCCGATGAACTCAAGGTATGGAGGAAATGTTATGTTTTATTTTATTTTCAAGCATGATTTTATATATCATTTAAGCTTGAATTCATGAAATGATTGTAATTAAATGTCTAGAAAGAAACATGTTATGCATGCTATTATTTTTATTGTACATGAAGGTATATTGATTAGCAATTCTATTAAAACCACGAGAGCATAATGTGTACTTTGATATCACTACAAAAATAAATATAATTGGACCCTTATGTGACAGATATGGTTAGAATTTATCAGACGGATAGAAAGGTCACGGCCTGTAGAGCAGCATTAAATCGTAGGTCTATCATTCAGTCTTATGAGAATTACGTGATCAACCCGGCTCGTTCACTTGTCGAACACGTGCAAGACATCTAAGAAAGATGTATGGCAGCTGTGGAGGTAGGACTGGAGATCATGCATATCGAGGCTGTGAATAATCTCATACACTCACTTCCATCTTAATGGGGGAGACATGAGAGTTATGGCTAGGGATAAGATGTTAGAAGGTAACCCCTAGAGCATCCAAACACGATTGAGTTTGGTATATATTGTCAGACCCTTCTAGATAGGTGGAGTGAAGGCTTAGAACCCCAACCAAAGATAGGGAATGAGCTCAATGATGAGGTTGAGATTGAGTCTGAGTCCGAGCCCGAGCTAGAGCCAAAACTTCAAATTGAATCGGACCCAAAGGAAGATCCCGAATGGGAGCATGGGGTTGACTTTGGGTTGGAGTTAGAGAATGATCATGAGCATGAACCTGAACTACTGGTTGAGATGGACATAGAGTCTGGACCCAAGGAAGAAGACTCCTCCGAAGATAAAGCTCCATTAAAGAGATTCACAGAATTCATAGGGATGAGAATCTTAGATTCCATGTCCTTAGTACTGTGATATCTTTTACCTTTATGTTATTGGAAAAAAAATTACTGAACTATTGTATATTCTGATTTCAAGGAATGCTATTAAAAAAAAATTCTTTTGAACATATTGAACTACTGTGTTGTCCAATATTTTTAAGACAAAATTTATTTTGTTAATTTAAAGGAAATGGCGGGATAACAAGACCAAGCAACTATGTTTAGGGATCCGATGAGGGCAGTGCATGACCTTGGTAAGAACCAAGCACCCACACCGACTCGTTTGAATGGACTGGCAAATGCTAACAACACAAGTTCAATTGTGGAGCAGTTTCACTATTTCAAACCTCCTTCTTTTGACACCAAGGCAGACCCTTTGGCAGTCGAAGAGTGGTTAAGAGGGCTAGAACGAATCTACAAACACATGGCATACACTGACACACAAAAGGTATCATGTGCTGAATTTATACTAGTTGGAGCAATAGGTCACTAGTAAGAGTCTACATCACACACTAGAACGGAAGCACAACAATGTGCTATTACTTGGGCACTGCTTAAGGAAGAAGTAAGGATAAAATACTTTTTCCAATCACTTAGGGATCGGAGAGAGACGGAGTTTTTACAGTTGAAACAAGAAAATATGTCGCTTAATGAGTATGAAAAGAAGTTTGAACAACTTTCTAGGCATGCTACACACCTTGTCGATACTGAGCTAAAGAAGGTTAGGAGGTTCGAATTAGGTCTGCGTCCAGAGATTGGAGGAATCATGATATCTCACCATACGATCACCTATAGTGAAGTACTTCAGCGAGCGCAGTCAATTTCTGATCGTCTAGAAATGGATCGAATGACTAAGAAGAATAGCGAATTTTATGGAAAACAAAAGTGAAATGGAACAAATAAAGGGAAAGGATTTGGACAATTGAAGAAGCCCAATACAGGATCGGGATCAAGTAAACCAAATAAGTTACTCCACGATGCCCAAAATGCAACAAGGCCCATGGAGGAGAGTGCTTGTTTGAGAAAAATGTGTACTATCGATGTGGCCTAGAAGGTCATTTTGCTCTGGACTGTTAGGCATACCCACCTAAGAAGGATAATGAATAGGACAAGAAAGTGAAAACTAAAGTCTTTGCTTTAACTCGAGAAGAGGCAACAGAGGATCCGAATGTAATGGCAGGTATTCCATCAATATCTGAACTACCTGCATATATTCTTATAGATTCCGGAACTACTCATTCATTTATCTCCACTGCATTTATTGTTAAATCATGTACTACATGTAAAAAATCTGATAGTGTTCTAGAAATTTCCATCCCATTCGGTATAATTTTGAATACCAATTAGATCGCTAGGGCAGTAAAATTAGTGATGGAAGGAAAAGAATTTGTCACTGATTTACACATCCTAGACATGAAAGATTTTGACATTATCCTAGGAATGGACTGGTTGGGGAGAAATTATGCAACAATTTGATGTTTTGAAAATGAAGTAGTTTTTCAAAAGCCTAGGAAGGAAGAATTTCATTTTTTCGATGTACTAGTTAAGTCTTTACCTCGACTCGTGTTGGTCACGAAGGCAAAAAAGATGTTAAAGAAAAGACTTGCCAGGGATTTCTA